GAGCGTACCTTGATGGAAGGGTAAATTCCTTACATATAGGTCCTTTTGTTTAAATAAAAGAACAGGATTATTTGGTGTGACAAATATTCTCTTTTACCTATTAACCAAGTTCATTTTCCTTTTTTTTTTTTCCCCTTTTACTTCCAAGGCAACCAGATAAGTGTCAAAATTGATATATAATTATGTTGTTTTACAAAAAGAAAGAGGTTCTTTTATATTAATATTTAACTCCAGTTTCATATTCTAAGATATTTTAAAATGTGAAATCTTGCTTAAGTGTGAACTGTCACACCACCAGAAAACTTAAGAGGTGCTTAGTTGTGTTCGTGTAATGGATGTGCAGCATTCTGGGGTTCTAAACCTTCCTTCTTCAAATGTATCATCAACCTGCACATTAGGAGGAACGATTATCAAAATTCAGAGCTAAACAGCAAACACAGAAACACTTGCTTACTGATATTACATGAATACATACATGGTTTTATGCAAACACAGGTTTTTTTGTGTTTGCATTTTTTGTGCAAACACATTTACCTGACAGTTTAGCTCCATAAATTTGAGTCTTTCAGTGTTTCCTTGATTTTCTTTTTTTCCCATGCATGAAAAAAAAACCAACCACCTTATTCTGGAACTGAAGAAATCATTTGCCTGCCTAATGAAACACAACATACGTGTAAACACAGAAAGCAAGGGGGGAAAAAAAGAGCTTCCTACCCGTAGTAAGGACTGGGATTCGTCCTTTGCCTTGGTGTCCCCGGATCCAGGGTAGGTCTGGGTGAGCTGCCCAGCCTTCTCTGCAGCTCCAGCTGGCACACCCTGCAGGAAGCCCTTGCTCTCCACCGCCAAGCCGTAAATGGGCCGCGCAAGGTGGGCAGCTTCTACGTTTGGACTATCCCTTAAAGGCTTTGGCTGTTCTTGGCCAACGGACACTGGAGTCAATAAGCCTAGACTGGTCTGTGTGTATGATGGGCTCCCCCTCAAAATGTCTGTTCCTCTCCAGGTCACGTTGCGAAGCTCATCACTGGGACTGTCAGCCCAACCTTTCTCCTTGAGCACTTCCTTATCTTCTATCTTTTCCCTCTTCACTATGCTGTCAGATATGGGCTCCCCCATTTTGGGGTCTGGATTAATCAGACTGTAGACCTTGAGGTCAATTTTTGGCTCCTCCTTGATAGATGAAACACCATGACTGTCCTCACCATTGGCTGTAGTGACGTCCATCTCCTGACAGTGCACAGTGTTGAAGTGCTCCAGTAGTGACTGAGTGTCAACAGCTGTGAAGCTGCACTGACGGCATTTGTAGCAGTTGTGTACTCGCCTGGAAGAAAATGAGAAGTGTATTAATGTGAAAGTTTCCTCTTGGCCTTCCCTCTCACAGTGGTTTTACCTACCAAGATGAAGAAAATAAACAGAACTTACAGTACGATTCCTTCAAAATAAAGCAAGCAGGTTTACTTTGCTGTCTTATACAAGATGAGGAAAGTCCTGCTCGTTTTTTCCCCCCACACCTTGCAATGCCTTCCTATAGTTCATTCACACTCCACTGCTTTATTTTAAACTTCATGTAATTTTCACTGGGATTTTGTGAGGTTTTTTTCCTCTTCAGTTTGCTACAATACACTTTTCATTTTTTATTCAAGTCGAAACATTGAAGTAACACATTTTTTTCAAACAAAACCGAACAGTTTGAAGAGGATAGTTTTCTTTGTATAAAAAGCACTTTGTGTAATACAGATCTACGCTAGAAAGTTAAAAATGTTCTTTAAAATTCCTTTGCTTTCCACCCATTTCATATACTTTTGGTTGACAAAGATGATTTTGAATGGCACTCTGGTTAACCTACAGAAAAGAACAGACTAAAGGACAGAAGGTTGCACACAACAGATAGGACTTGTTCTTTATGGACATTTTAACACAGCTTTAAAAGACGCTACTCTAAAGAAAAGGCAAAATAGTTGGCTGTGTCACTACAAGCTGCGTTTTCCTGTCAAATACAGAACTACTTGGGTACGAGCTGCGGAGCAGTGTGGAAAAATGCGCCTTCCTGTTTTTATTCCAAAAGCCTATATAAAGTACTGCATTACGAAAATATGTAAAGCATATGTTGCTACATGAGAACAACATGTTACGCGTTTAGTGTATCCACCACAGGAACAGAACGCTGTTTATGAGCTCTGTAACACCATTATGTGTAATTGTTTATAGCACAGGAGCGGTCCGAGCCCTTCGCCAGGCTCCGGGCCCCGCTGCGCCCGGCGTCGCACCAACGCAGAGTAAAGTCCTGTCCCTGCCCTGCATCAGAATGTATGCAACTCCCTGGAAGCTTCTCCCTACAGACACTCACACATCCACACCCCAGGCATTCCAAGTCACAATGGCGTCTTTAGCCAAGCTAAAAAATGAGACTTTCGTTACCCACACAGGACAAAACTTGTATGAGAAATCTGTTACTGCCCTGACAACTCCAATTGTTAGAATTAATTCTTTTGAGGCCAAATCTTACTCTCAGTGAAGTCGATGGCAAAAGTCCCATTGACTTCAGTAAGTGCAGGATTTGGCTCTCGGTGCATCTGTAGGACTGGAATGATACACAAAATGTCCCATTTAGAGTATGATAGTTTAGAAGGGACAACTTGCCAAAGTTATTAAACCCCCTTGTCTTCCTTCTTTCCTTTTGTTGGAAAAACAAACCATATGTTATTTACATTGTCTGATTTTCTTGCAGTTGTGTCAGCGCACAGACATGAGTACACATTCAGATTCAAGATTTTTAGCCCTTGTGCAGTATCAGTTTTCTTTTTGTCATTTTCCATATTTATATTCATTTTAAGGGACTAGATGGGCTCTTTCAGTTATGCAAAAAATAGAGTCAGCTATTCTCCACATAGCCTTATGGCAACAAAATCTACTTGTGGGAGAGCAAGCTGTGGGTTAAAATCCTGTTCTGGCTGTGTTCCTTTTTCTCCCTTCTACAATTGTGTTTTATTAAAATCAGCTTGTCTCTCAATGCGACACTAATATATTCTCTCTTGAAACTTCATTCTTTTCTAAATCGAGCTTAATTCACTTTTGAACAAAAAAAAAACCAAAAAAAAAAAGAGAGTGCTATCTGATCAAAACCATTTTATAAATACAAAAAAGCCAAGTTATAAAGAGGATCAGCCCTGTAAAGGTGGGATACCATCAGGGAAGTCCAAGTTAGACAGGGGCTAGTTATCTTAAAAGCCAAGTTAAACAAGACACCATTCGGGGCTAATGGCTCAACCGCATACATTCCCCATGTGAAAGTTTATCAATCCTTTGGGAGGCTACTTAGCCCTAAGTGTCTCTTGTTTAACTTGGCTATTTCAATAGCTAACCCCTTTTCCTAACTTGGCTCTCATCTACAGATATCACACCTCCAAACAGCTGATGCTTTTCTGCTTAACTTTTCTTTTTTTTTTTTTTTTTTTTTTTCTTCTACCCTTGCACACTGGCTAAAAGTTTTTGATCAGGAGCAGTATACACCACAGAAGTGGTACTACATTTCTGATGCCACCAATAAACGTAAAGTACAAGATGCACATGTAACTACATGGCTGAAGCCCAGATAAAATCACCTGTATTACACTAAAGGTTTGTTCAATTAAATTATTTATAACTAATTCAAAGACAGTCACACAAGCAGTCTTTCATTTTTCTGGGAGACATACAGGCACTCTGATGGGGAAGAAATGAGGACTGATTTGAGTGGATAGTAACCAAACAGGCTTTTTTTTTCCAGGATATATATTTTTCTAGTAGGCATTAAAAAGTAAGCTCTGCCGTCAACATTATAAATCTTCATGCTTCACATGGGTTCATCCTGTATATTATTCTATCCCTAAGCTCCAAGATGTAAGCTAAATGTGTGACTTACACTGCAACAGTGTAAGTCACAGCCTCAAAAGATAGAATAATAACTATCAAAAGATAGAATAATAACTATCATCAGCTATTAGAGAACTTTTGAAACCTGGAAACTTATTCTTTCCCAGAACAAGGCATAAAAAGAAAATGTTTTAATCTTTTGACTGTTTTCACTTCACCCTGATAGCAATCAAGAAAACAAGATGGCAATGTTTGATTTATTTTTATATTAGAATTTAAACCTACCCCATGTTTCTAAAGGCTCAAGTTAAACCTACATTTGTGCATAAAGTTCCTCAAAGCTAAGCAACAAAATTTTCAAAATTCCAGTTTGCAAAGTACACAAAAAACATTCCTGTGCATTACCTGAAAGTTACACTTTACAGCTAAGCCACAGTTACACCGTCCGAAACTCCGAATTCATCAGGGGCAATACAGTGTATTGGTATATAGCTGATCACAGCAGCGATGCTTGAGGCAAATCTCAGTATGGGAGAAAGTGATGTAAATGAAGAAGGAAACAGCATTCTCCCTTTTGTGATCTTGCGTATACACCACACAGGCACAATAATAGCAGGTTCAAGTCACAGACTGGCATTGCTTTCAATGTGGCATTGGGATGACAATGTCATCCCATCCACTGATGTCACTTAGCAATACTACTTTCACTAGAAAATAAATCAAAGATCTGATTATTCATGGTCATACTCCTGACAATAACCAATTCTTAATTAAGTCTTGTTGACATGCTTCTAACTAGTCTGAAGCACTACAAAACACTGTCTTCTACAACACAAGTAATTTATTTTTTTCTTAAATTACCTGAAGACTTTCCTAGGCTCCAGGGCATAGAAAATATTCTGGATGAGGTACAGCTATCATATCACTTCCATTTTTTGAATGTTTTGAATTTCATTATGAAAACAATAATTACTAGTAGTTCTCATGAAGAAACAGGCTCATAAGAAAGTTTACTCAGAGGATGGATGCTGCACTCAGGTTTGTGGGGAGAAGAAAATATTCAGAAGGAAAGACAGTGAGCAAAGGAAGCAAGAAAATTCAGTGGCAGGTCAGAGAGGGGAGGAGAACGGACAGAGTGGAGAGCAAGGCTGAGGTGAAAGGAGACCAGAAGCCACTGCAAGAGCAAACAAGTTCAAAGCAGTGAATTAAGGTGTCAGGAGGATGGAAAAGGTCCTCGCAGCTGCTGCTATTGTTTAATGAGTGAAGGCTCCCGCTCTGCCGAAAGAACAGGAGCTGCTGGGCCTCAATTTACACTTTTGCCCTTGGCTGGCTTCTCTGGGGAGTGTCCCAAAGGCTCCACATTTCCATAATTCGCACGTTCCCTGCTGCTCTGGCTTCTGCTGCCCCGGAGAGTGAGGGAACAGCTCCCACACCCCTGTCCCCACCATGCAGCCCTGGTGCTGGGGAGCCATGAGCCCCAAGTACCCCTTTGCCTTTTACTCCTCTACCCCATTTATCTTAGAGGTAAGGAATTATTTAACTTGAAATTAACTCAAAATTAATTTCAAAAGAGAACCCTACATAACTTCTGTCATCCAGATTTCCAAAAAAAACTTATTAGAAAAATGATTCTACAATGCTGCCAAAGCTTGTATTTCATTTGAGTCTGTACTTCTTACATTTTGCAGTTGTTTAATGAATCATTACCCTATCCTTCTTTCAAAGAAGTTTTGAACATTTTTCAGCACAGAATTTTTAATTACTACTAGGACTGATCAAATGCTTTCCGTCAAAGTCTTTTCTGACGAATAAGGATTTACATTAAAAATTCTAATTATTGCAAAAATGTGAAAAGGCATTGTTTTCTCACATCTTTTAACATGATTTTTTTTTAAAAAAAACACTTCTGCAAGAAGCCGCTTTCATTTAAGAAAAATTAAAAAAAAAAAAAATTAAGAATTAATTATTTTGGAGCGAGGAGGAAAATAATCTCTACACTAGTGATCTGACAAGCAAAATTTCCCCAAATACTCAGTATGATTTTTATCTATATTACAAGTGATGGCATGCTTTAGCTCATTAGAATACCAGAAAGTTTTGAGGGAAAACTAAGCTTCACAGTGAACATGAAGAGTACCTGACTCCTTAGAAGTATAATGTAAAATGAGTAGTAGCAGAATTAGTAAAAAATAGAGGACAATAAACATTTTGGGGATTTATTTGAGTAAGCACATTTTAGTGAGGTTTCAATACAAGTAAACTCAAGGGCAATGTGATTCATTAACTTCAAATTTAACTGAACAGCACTTAAATAATCATGTCAAGAAATACTGAATGAGCATTAAGTACACATTTCTGTAGACAGAAAACTTGGAAAGAACCACTTTTGCAAATTCTAATACTGTTGCAGATACATGGCTGCAAAGGAATAATACTGGGACAGAAATTTTTTTAGCTAGCAGACACCAAAATTGCAGATGCAGAACCAAAAGGAAACAAACAACAAAACAATTAAGCATGCTGTTTAGCCATATGAACTCAAAACCTAAAATAGTCAAAAATGCAGACAAAAAAATACATGAACCAAAATAAGTTGCATTTAAAACCAGCTCCGATACTCTCAGAATATCAAGGGTAAACTTCAATATGTGAATGGTAGAACACTTTCTGCTACCACATTAATGCTTAGCGTTATGTTTACTATTGGAATCCACTCAGCTCCTTATTATCTAAATGGATAGTATTTAGATATATGTGCATGTATAGCACTTTAAATACATGAGAAATACGTAACGTGTGGCATAACAGCTTTAACGAGATAAATTCTGATGAAGCCCCACAGAAGGCCAGCAAGGATGTGAGCTGACTCTACGTTGGCATCTTTCTGTGTCACATAACTCGCCTATACTACTATTTTATAGATGCTCTATTTTTTAAAAATGGAACTGTTCTGTAACTTTAGTTCATAAAATACAAAAAAAAAAAAAAGGAAAGAAAACACATAGCCAATATATGCAAAAGTTCTATTTAAAAAAAAAAAGATGCATGATAGTAATAAAAAAATAGAAGCTCAAATGCCCCAAAAGTCTCTCTTTCCATTTGTTTTAGTTTGATAGAGTGAAAACTAGGTTATGTGTAGAAATGCAATAAAACTTGCTAGTGTTTGCCATTACAAAGCACCTAGGATGAACCGAGCTAACTTCTGTGAATCCGAAGAATATGCACAGTGGGGAAAAACAGCAGCAGCACATGTAGAAAGAAACAAAAAACTCAGATTAAGAAGGGAGGAGGGCAGGAGAACGGGAATAGGCGGGCATTTATGGGGATGTTGTACTTCACTTTAATTACACAACATCCACAGAATTACTCGATAATGTCACAGACAGAACACGTAAAGAAATACATTGTTTGAGGGTCTTAAACAGAATGGGCTAATTTCAGACAAGTTGAGATTTGAATGCCTAGGTGTATCTCTTGATTTTCCAAAGTGCAGTTCCCCATGACAACTGCCAGAGCCGCAGGGTGCTGAACCCTGAAGGAGAAGCTGCTGCTACCCTGTCTCTGACTTGGCACTTAATTCTCAAAGTCATGGCTTCTCCTCTCCTTGAGAAAAAGGATTTTAACTAGGCATGCTTGTTAAAACTTAAATTACCAGCTGCAGCAAAATAAAAGTGTTTTTTTTTCAGTCAAGGAGCCATTTCAATCTTCCAGTTATTTAACCACTAAAAAAAAGACCATGCCATGCCCCAGCGGCGGACAAAGTGCTGCCTATGGAGTTCTACAGCATGGCTCAAAGCTGCTATAATAATGCTTGGAACTTAGATACCACTTTTCATCTTCAAAGCAGTTTACAAACATTAACTAATTAATCCGCACAACATCCCTCAGGCCCACTTGGATCAAAAACAGGGCACTGCATGCTGGGACCTGAATCCTCCGTGGGCCCTAGCTCCAAATTAAAGATGAGCAATCTGCTCTTTTTTTTTTTTTTTTTTTTTAAATAGACTCCTGATACATTGCCAATGCAGCCCTCTGTTGGGCAACATTTGGATGCCCCCAGCTTTAATCTCTAATAAAGTATCATGCCCCAGTCTGCCTTTGTTAATTTTGGATGTCTTGGAATCTATTAAACGTGGCACAGTTTCTTGAGCTTTTAACAAAGCTTTAGCTTTGAAAATGCATCTTCTTTTGTCTTCATTCTAGCTGGCTCCCATGCAAAGATCTTTTAGATGAGATAGATACTGAGTTTTCCGTTGTTGTTGACGCATTAGCCTTAACTATTAACATATTCAGCATGATTTTCTAATATTTAACATCGCTTTTGCAGAGGCACATAACTGTTGCTCTTTACAAAGCTTGAGAACCAGCTCCCACTCTGATGTAAACTGGACTGCCAGTTTACAACAGCCCAGGAACTGACCCAAGAAGTTTAGCAGGGAGTTGGCTGCCACTATGACATTGTGTCAGACTGAGTCAGGAGACTGGCTGCATCCACCTCCAAATAGGAACATTAGCATTTAAAATAAATAGAATGACACTGTAAACCAGCAACACGAAAATAAGCATCTGCAAAAGGATCTTGGGGGATGACATCAACAGACAAAAGAGTGTCTGCTCCCAGTGTGAAACCAACACCAAAACGGCAGTGGAATGCTCTTAAACTAATTACTGCGTTGCTGGACTTGGGAATGGAAAATACTACAAAAAGGTAGGACATTGAAGCACTGTTGCAAGCATGAAAGGATTCATAGTCTATCTTTGAAAGTAAAGCCATTTGTGTTCCCCTGCTGAATGAAGATGCCAGCTTTCTGGTAAAAAGTCTAAACTAAAATAGTACCTAAAAGATTCTGGGTGGAAAATAGTTGACCAAACCTCAAGTATGCTGGAACTGCAGCATCTGCACACAAATCCAAATTTCCCTCTTCTTTACACAGGTTTAAACGTATAATTAAATCCACCAACTTAGCTGGTGATTTTCCAAAACAAAGTGGATGTTGGATGGGACTCTGGCTGTAAAGATTTATATCTATACACATTCATATTTTGATTTCCAGTTTCCTCAAATGTTTGGGGAACGGTGACATTTAATTAAGGAACTAAGGGAAGGCTGTTTGTTTGGGTTCCTATCATTAATCACTGGAAACTTCACTGTACCTGTAGTGTCGGGAAATCTCTTCTTCCACCTGGGTGGTAAAGTCACATTTGGTACATGAATGTTCTTTGTTCTCCTTGAGCGTCAGCGGCCCCTCTGCCCCTGGCAGGGTGTTTGTTTCTGGTTTGACATCAGACGCTTGGGCTTCATGTGCACTCTCATAGTGGAGCAGGAGAAGGTCCACGTCGGGAGTGGAGAAAGAGCACTGATGGCACTGGTGTTTGACTCTAGAGCTTCCTGTCACCCCTGGAGACAGGTGCAAAAGCAAGAGAGCACAGTGGGAACAATTACTTTTTCTGCAAGCAAATGGATAAGTAATTTCTCCAAGGTGCTTTTCTGGGCTGCAGAGGCCTCGGGGACAGAACTGACAGTGCTTAATGGTACATTTATGAATGTTGTGTAGCTGCTGATAGTGACGGAGAAGTGGGCCCACCACTATTACATCAGGGCCATGGCTCTTTGAGTACCTAAAGTCACAGAACTGACAGTTGTAGCTTGTCACCATGCTGTCCTCTGCTCCTTTGCTAGTCAAGTCTTTCTTTTTTGCCACACTTGCACCCTTTTCTGTCTTTGTCACTAACTCCCCATCTGCATTCTTGGCTACATCATTCTGGTTAATGACAGATCCCCTAGAAAGCTTATCATTCAGATCTGGTTGAAGGCTTCCTGCCTGGCTTCCCCCATGCTGTTTGCTGTAATGTTCTAATAGTTTCAATGAGCTGGACGATTCACAGCTGAAACTGCAAAATTTACACCAGTAGTAACTGGTTGTATCGGTACCATTTTGTCTAGAGGAATCTATTGGCTTGATGGGCACCGAATATCCAACTGGTGTATCATCTCCTGCTTTTACAGTGATTCTGTCTTGCCACTTCCCCAAGTCTCCAGAATCACATGGTCGAAGAGTAGGACTGCATTTATTGGAGTTTTTCTCTGAAGTTTTACCAGAATCAGAGGAGGGAAGGGTTGCTTTCATTTTGTTTGGGTGAGTCTGTAAGAAGTGTTGCTCTAGTTCAGTGGAGGAGTTGCCCATGTAGGTGAAATTGCAGAATTTGCAGCGGAAGTACTTGGTGTTGCCTTGGCAATCTGGAGTTTTCCGCCCAATTCCAATAAAGGTTCCACCTAAAGTAACCTGTCAATAAAGAATGAAGTCATTTTAGCTCCACTGTACATTTACTCAGATAGCGGGGGGGAGGGGGGGAAGATAAATAGAGAGCAATTAATTCATAAGCCTCTTCCATTAACCATCACCACAATTTTCATTTGTACTAATGGAGTAAAATATCATACATATACCTTCATGTATTTAGCACTTCTTGATGAAGATTTGGAAATGTTTCACATACGTGAATATATATTTCATATGAATAATAAATACATTTATTTGGGGAACCCAAGGTGCACGTACACAACACAGTATTAACTCCATGTTCTCTGACAGGAGAATGACAGGAATATGATAGGACTATTCCTTCCTTCACTAAATCACTAAATCATCTCATTGATAGAAGACCAGATAACCCGTCCCCTTATCTCTGAACTTTTTGACAGGAGTGTTTGCTGGGAGTCTGCACCACCTATGGAATAAAAGAACAGATCCTCGGTCTTTTTCTTTCAATACATTTACATGTTTTAATCATATTCATGCTTGGTAGTCCAAGAGAATTGCTTTCTAAATGACAGCAAACAAAAATTTAATTGGAAATAATAAATTCAGTTTGTTGGGTCAGAGTATGACCAATTCTCATTCCTACAGGAGTATCCAGTAACTGCCAGGATGCCTTATAGCATAGCCTTAGTGGCTGATGTCTGAAATGAAAGGCAGTTTTCTCAAAGATTACTCAGTGCAGACATTCTCCAAGGAAATCTTCTGTTCCTCTCATGCACAGAGCTCAATTTAATAATACAAGGATGGAAAAACTACAGTACAAAAATGCCATGTGGCAAAGAAACCTACCACACCCAAGTCCATGACATCACTAATTAAAAAAAAAAAAAAAAAAAAAAAGGTATGTCTATTTAACTGTTCTCGAGATCTCTGAGCAAAATGGTCTGCAGGAAGGAAACAAGACTTCCAGGGCTTATGTTATTAAACCCTGTGTTCTCATAGCAGGCAGGCCTGCCCTTCCCAAGAGTATACCACACCTACCTGTGACATCAAGGGGAGATTTGCTGCTCCTGTACAACTGGTTCCAAGGCCAAAGAAAGAATCTCATGACAAAAATGTCACCATTGCTCTACTTTTTTTTTTTTTTTTTTTTTCCCTGAATAGTAAATGGTGTACAGCATCCAGGAGATAATTCCTCTAAACAACCCAAATCCACAAACATCTACTCCTCTGCCATCATCCAGCACTTCATCATCCACACCACTATATCAAGGACACGGCTGGAATGTCCTTGTGCCACATTCTCACTTTTTACACCCAAGAGATGCCTTACAGGGAATATAAAGTTTCCACACAAGCTTTGATTTCCATCCTCCCAACCATTAAGTGTATTCCTACACTTCCGCAGGATTCAGTTCTAACACATTAGGCAAATTGTGTAATTATTTTTCTTCTCCTCCTCACAGTTGTGCCACAAAGAAAATGTGATCTCTGCTCATCCAGTATCACACCACACAGAAAGACTCAGACACACAGAGAATATTAAATGTAAACATATTTAAATACACATAATATAAATGCCTTTTAGAAATTTTGCTCAGAGAATGAGATGCAATCCTTTGTATCCCATCAGAACTGAACATGTATAGTGAGTCAATGAGTTGCTAAACCATACTATAATGAGCTGCTGCTACTCGGCCTCCAGTTCTTGGGTTTTTTTTGATTTGTTTTTTTTTGTTTTTTTTTAAAGAAAGCACAGTTCCCATGCTTGGGTTAAAACTTTTTTCCTAGATAAACTGAAAATTGCTTTCTGTTTGTTTAGGAAACATATCTCATTAGGCAACAGTGAGTAGGGCAGCCAGATAGGTACGACTTGGCTGTAATAACTTTTTCAACTTTTTCACTTAAACTGGGGCTCCCACGTACTGGTATCAAATTATGAATTTGGTTTTGAACAGGTTCTTTGGAAGAAGGATGTTCTAACAGACCTTTGGTACTGCAGAAGAGATCTCATTTTATTCATTTTATGGCGAGCAAGAACTGGAGACAAAGTCATGCTGAGCCTCATCCGCTGACAACAGTGCGATTTGGGCCTGCTCCATAGTATCTGGCACTTCAGGTCTCCATCCACTGCATTATTTCAACGTTCAATGTCTCAATGGTGTTGAAAGACAACTTAAAGAAAGCACTGATGGAATTATGGTAAACAGAAAATAACAGCAGCTCGCTGTGTGATTGCATAAGTTGCAAGGTGATCTGGTTTTGCTCATTTAATTTGATACTTATGTTTGTTCTATGCATGCACAGAAAACGGGCCAAAATGCTTTACCTTAAGTGGCTCTAATGAGTAAATACATCCAGTACTCTCAGCTGTCTATTCACAGAGCCTACAGATAACAAATCTATTTTGTAGACACTCTGTAGCCATCAGTTAGAAAGTGTGAGTGACAATAATCCCAGCTGCTGTTCATTGCTAATTACTTTTATTTCTGAACACTGGAAAAACATATTATTAGTACTAGCATTTTATACAATGGGCAGTACAACACATCATTTCTGTAACTTGTGCCAATCCTGCTTAGTGGCCTACACAGCAAATTCTTCTCTAGTGCTAATACAACCTTCTCTGCAACACAAGAGGAGAAAATAGAACTAAGTATTTTCACACTATTTGTGTTAACCTCTTGTAATATGAAGGGGGGACAAAATCCTTACAGCACTGGAATGTAACTGACTACCAAGTTTCGGGTTAGCATTTCCCTGACTACCCTGCCACAACTCAAAATAATACGTCTTATTAGGAGAGCATGTATATGAAAGGTAACACAGGGTCCTCTTAATATTATTACACTTAAAAGCCATTTTTCAAACATAACAAAACCTCCTGAAAGCGTTCTTGGTGGTCATCAGGTAAGGAGAACTGAAGAAACTAGCTTCCACGCAAAGAGGCTGAGAGAAGCACTTGAAGTGAGGGTATAAACTGAAGCTGTTTCAGCTTTCAGCCAGACAAATTTGAAAGAAGCCTACACATTTGCAAAACTGTTTGAATACATGCACTCTGCTCAAGTCTTGGCTTGACCTTCAGATTTTTCAATTATATATTACACCTCTATGTAAAAGCACTAAACTCCTTCACTGGCTATGTAATTGTCTTTAGCCTCTTCACTCTGATCTGCCCTAGAATAGGAAAAATAAAGGAGAAGGAGGAGAACAGGGGGTGGGGAATATATATAGAAAGAGATATTCCCCCTAGAAATCAATATCCACATTTCTGTGTAGTATCAGAATTGATAAGTTTCTTGTATTTATTCCCCTGTCATTCTGATCCCAGCAAAACCTAGTCCCCTGCTTTTCCTTGATGGAGCTATTTTTTCTTAAATAGAGAATGCTCCCCAACATAAAGAAGAAAATAAACAAAAGCAATGCTAAAATTCTGCAATTCTACTACAGCAGTGGAGTCCAAAGTGCCAGCTGATATAACTAGTGGCAGACACAAGTACACGTACAGCTATCACTGAAAATCTAAGAGCACCTATGCATCAACAGTTACCTCAGTAAGCACACAAGAAAATTATTCTTCATGATATTTTTTTAAGGGAATCTAGCACACAAAGCATCTGTTTGGACTGTGGAAACCTGATTTAGTTATTTCCTTCACTGTCACTTGCTTATGAGACTTTGGGATTACCACTTTTCCCTGCAGCACCTCAATTTTGGCAATATAGTTGACATTATTATGCTATATAAGAAGACAACTATTACAACAAGTTCTCCACTATTGCAACTGAGATGGTTGCACTGATACTCTTGGCCTGCTCTTCAAAAAAACTGCTCTTCAAAGCCATGTCCTAGTGTGGGATTAAAGTGAAATATATTTCACAGTAAGACTCCCTGAAACTCAAAACTCTTAATCGTTAAATTCATTCATTAATGGGGAAAATTATCAAAATCCAGAAGACTGGGAAAGAATTTACCACAAGGATTAAAGTTCATGTATTAATACAAGTAAACTATCTCCTCATATGCCATGAATATTTCAAAAAATAGCCACAAAGAGGAGAAAAGATAACACGATAATTGACAGTGTTTCAAGATGCACTTCCTAAAGCATGTTGGCAAGGACTTCAACAAAGCTGTGTAATTGCACTGTATGTTTCAAATAGATATGTCTATATTACCTCAATTAAACCAAAACCAATGATTTCATGGAATAGGTGGACTTGGGCAAGGCACAGTTCTTTCAATATTTTTTAAAAATCATCTCTGATATTTAATCAGTCCTTAATCCAAATGCTACCCTGTTCTGTTCTTCCCCCTCCTTTTCAAAGTTCAATGCTAAATTTTGGAATGCTGAAGCATTTTACAAATATTGCTTACAGAAGATCAGAAAAAAATAATAATAAAAAAAAATTGCCAGCTCCTGTAATCTAGTGGCCTATATCCACCTAAGAGTTTCAACTGCAAGACTTACATGCCTTGCTGTAAAGCTGTCCTTGACCCTTGGCTTCTTCTGCAACTACTGGTTAGAAACTAGACCAACCATCTGCAGTGGAACATCAAATGTTAAGAATTTTTTTTTTGATTACCTGGGTTTCATCTCTGGCTAATCAAGAGGTAAAAGGCTCCAGCGCCCTTACCAATCTCCTGAGCCATCCAGTCTGCCTTTGCCAATTACTCTTAATCTTCTAATCCTAAAGTATTTTCTAATGCTCTTGTTTATTCATTTGCTTTGTGCAATATAGCATCCAGAACATTTTAACCATCCCACATTTATGAAGTTCTTCGTGTTATGCAGGCCAGAACAGATTCCTGGCTTTCATGCAAGTTTGTGTAACACCACCCAGTTCTCTAACCTCCGCTACAGAGAACTGACTCCCTCTCACTTGCTCACTCTCTGCATGTAAAACTAGGAATATCTTCAGAGTATTTTCTTAAAACTATTTACCATACTGTAATTAATGTAATTATTATTGCAATGTAATTAATGTAATTAATAGACAGAACTATGTTGCATAAGTGAGGCA